TCTCTCATACCTTTGTCGGCGAAATTGAAAATTGAACGGTGGAAAATAAACAACAACAACAATAATAACAATAATAATAACATATTATCATTAATAATGGCAACAACATCAACAACGACAATAAATAAGCCAGAATATCAATGCAAACATTAAAATTGACAACAACAAAATAACGTTACGAACAACAAAAACATCAACAACAACAATCAACAGCAGCAACAACAACAAAGATAACATCAACAACAATTTAGAAAGCAAATAACAACAAAATTACGTCACCACCATCACCCCAAACAACGACAACAACAACAAAATCAACGATAACAATAAAATCAAAAGATGGCACAACGACAATTTCCTTCAAATTAAATTTTCCTTATTCTTCCATTTATTCACTCGTCTCTTCATTCGTTTATTCATCCGTTTTGTCATTCAGATACTCATTCATTCATTCGTTCGTTCATTCATTCATCCATTCATTCCTTAAATAATTCATTCTTTCATTCAACAATTCATTCATTCATTTAATAATTCACCCATCCATTCCTCCAGTGATTCAACATTCGGTCTTTCTCTCTATCCATTGTAATGACGTCATTGTTCTCTCTCTGACGTCACAACAATGCACGGCGTCCAATCTTAAAGTTAGATTAAATTTCTCAACCTATGTGTCTCTGTATGACACGTTTAACCTTTGCCTAATAACAACAACAACAATAATAACAACAATAACAATAATATTATAATAATAAAAATAATAATTTAACATTATACGCTGTAGTAGCTGAGGCGGCAGTAGTTGTAGTAGTAGTACCAACAGCAGCAGTAGTAGTAGTAGTAGTAATAGTAGTAGTTGTAGAAATGTTTGGGTATCGATCGAGCCAAAAACGTGACGAACAAGTCCATTCATTCACTTGCACTGACAAACAAAGCAAGGAATAATTAATAATAATAATGATAATTATCTTGATAATTATTTTCCACGTCATAATAATATTAATAATAACAATAATAATTATAGCTATAATAATAATTATTATTGTTGTTGTTATTGTTATTATTATCACAATTACATAGAATAATGCGAATAATTGAAACCATCGTTATCATTATCGCATTCCTTTATTCATCATCATCTTCTTCCTCACCATCATCATCGTCGTCGTCATCATCATTCTAATGTTCATCAATATTTAATCATTATCTAGGCGCCAAAAATAATAATAATAATAATACCGTAAAAATAAAATCAACAACAGCAACAACAACAAAAACAATAACAACAGCAACAACAAAGCAACAAATATTTTTAAATTAATTTTCCATTATATTTTTCTCGTTGTCATTGGTAACGTGAGTAAACTATAGTAACGAACAACCAATCAAAATCGGTATACATACATACATACATACATACATACAAAAATACATACATACATACATACATACATACATACATACATACATACATACATACATACATACATACATACATACATACATACATACATACATACATACACACACATACATACACACACACATAAATTGCTTAGATACAAAAGTGTATTAATCTGGTATTTTCTATTTATTTTAGGGATCATTTTGTTATATTAGATACGGGAAGGTACAGAGTCTTGCAAGCCAGACAGGAGAAATTATGTTAATAATAATAATATAATAATATTAATTATTATTATTAATTATAACTTTTATTTATACAAATTATTGTCTTTATTAACTTATTAATTATATATTTTTTAAAACGTCTATCCGCTTGCCGATACAACTTTATCAATTTCAAAATTTCTTATTACTTTTAGTTTTATTATTAAAAAATTATAAAATTTTATCGTAAATGTATTTGTTATTATAATTAAATCATAATTAATTAACAAATCAATCAGTTATTTAACTAATTAATTAATTTTATTATCACCTACCTACACATAAAATTAGATCAAAACCATGGTTTGTTGGCCTATAATTTTTTTATTACATATATAACACTACTATTAATAAATAGTTCTACAACTTTTATTACTACTATTACTACTACTACTACCACTACTACTACTACTACTACTACGACTACTACTACTACCACTACTACTACTACTACTACCACTACTACTATTACTACTACTACCACTACGGCAACGATAGCGGCTACTACTGCTGCTGCTACCCCCACTATTACTACTACTACTACTTGCTACTACTACTACTACTGATAATTTTATTTTGTTTTCAAATTTTGGTTTTATTATTATTGCTTAATAATTTGATCTTTTAATCGGTATTTCAAGTATTTTAATTTACCCTATTATTATTATTATTATTGGATATTTTTATTGTGATTATATTTATTATTATTCTTATTTTGTCCACATCCTCGTATCCGTGCATCGCCGCTGACAGGATGACGACGTGGAAACCAGACGAGCAGGTGCAGTTATTATTATTGTTTGCCTTCTCCTTCTTATTATTATTATCGTTATTATTACGTTTTTGTCGTTGTTATTAATCTGTTATCAAGATAAATGTTTTTTGTTATTGTTGTTCTGTTGTTGTTATCAAGATAATTGTTTTAACTCTACCGTGATCCATACCTTCACTACCAGACTCAATTATAAAATGACATACATTTAACTTTAGGCGCACTCTAATTATACAATATTTACAATACAGTGCATAGTAGCGTATAAATACATAATAATACCTCAAAAATACTCTTTTAACATCCAACGCATTAAAACCTAGTAAACTGCCAGTCAATATACATATAACGAATACACTATGCTATTTTTAAACCCACTAATGCCTCAGTTATGCAATGCTAACACACTAAGAACCCGTCTTACACTCCATTTCTCCATTATACTCCATTAATTACTGAATATTTGACAAACATTCCTCCAATAACTTTTAAATACTGAATTAATACCCTTCGATACCTGTACAAATGCCCAACCAACCATCACCAAATTTCAGAGTGCCGACTTGTATTCGATCTCTTTGATAGGAACGGCAATGGCTACATAGAGGTGCACGAATTGGCGGATGGCCTGAGGGCCATGGGTTCGAATCCGACCGAAGACGAGGTAGAAGAAATGATTCAGGAAGGAGATAGTAAAAGTACATTTTTGTTTTCTGTTGTTGTTTCCACGCCTTCTGTAATTATTATTATATATTTATTATTATATCATTATTTATATATTTATAATTATTATTTAATTATTAGTGGTGGTAGTGGAAGTACTAATTTAGAAGTAGTGGTTTGGGAAGAGTAGTGATTTAGTAGGAGTAGTAATTTAGCAGAAGCAAACACAAAAACAAAACTATTTCACCAGGAAATGAAGATGGGAAGTTAAGTTTCAACGAATTTTTCCAGCTAATGGAAAAATATAGAAAGTCCGCGGAGCAAGAGAGAGAGGCGCTAACCGATGCATTCAGATGTTTTGACAGAAATGGAGATGGAAGGATTGACAAGAGAGAATTGAGAATGGTTAGTTTGGGTCTCTCTCTTTTTTTCTCTCTCTGTGTGTGTGTGGTGAGTGTTGCGAGTGTGTGTGTGTGTGTGTGTGGTGAGTGTTGCGAACGAGTGTGTGTGTGTGCATGTGACAAAAACAACAAAACCCACTTCCACCAAACCAAAAACAACAAACACGCACAAATTCACCAGGCTCTGACTGAAATGGGAATGAGCAAGTTATCGAAGGATGAGGTGGACGATCTCTTCAACGAAGCCGACACCGACGATAACGGATACATTGATTACAGAGGTCACTTCTCTCTTCTTTATTATTTAGAAAAAAAATCAGCGCTATAAAAATATGACCTCTCAGGAATATCAGAGAGAAAGCGTAAAACACACCACTTTTGCATGATAACGCATATGTATACCCGCGTATGTATGTATGTGTGTGTGTGTACGTAGGTGTGGTATGTCCATGTAGTATGTGAGTGTGCGAATGTACGTACGTGTATATACTCTTAGGTGTTTGTTTGTGTGTGTGAGTGTGTGTGTGTGTGTGTCTATGTGTATGTGTGAGTACGAAGTTTATTTGAAACAAGCGAAACATTGTGTGAAAAAAAATTTGTATTTTTTTCAGAACTGGTGAATCTGATTACGAATTAGGGAAGATGTTGATTTGATCCTCATCAACGAAGATGCACGAAACAGAAATATTATTAATGTCGTAAATAATATTCTATACAATTAATTATAGACAATTTTTAATAACTATAATTAAAAATTTCATAACCCGTCACATTAAATTTACACCAAATTATCAGTTTAACAATAAATAAATAAACAAAACAACTAATTAATTAATTGACTGATTGATTAATTGATAAAAGCAAGCCATGCAAATTTGTGAACGAGGTTTATAGTACTTGAAAACAACACTTCACAAATAATTAATTCATTTATGCGAGCTTGATACACGAATAGGATACGTCTCCCTCCCTCTCTCTCTCTCTCTCTCTCTCTCTCTCTCTCTCTCTCTCTCTTTGTTTTTCTCTCTCGACATGATAAAGGTTGAGTAATTTATTTACTGTAATAAAATGAGACGCCATTGAAAATGCGCACTCTCTATGACATTTAAGACATAACAAGAATCATAGACAAATGAATGAACTAATGAATGAATGAATGAATGAATGAATGAACGAATGAATGAATGAATGAACGAACGAATGAACGAACAAACGAATGAATGAATAAATAAATAAGTAAAAAGTATTAAAAACAACTTTTACAAAAAAATAGGAAAAAATTAATATAAAATAATAATCCTTCATTAATATCTTTATAAACAACTCGTTCATCCACGTCTGAATGGGGAATAAAAATAAATAAACGAACGAACGAACGAACAAATAAAAATACACAACAAACTCATCATCATGGGACCTTGGTCAAGAGAAAAAAAACATGATAGAAAATATGCCATCTTGTAACAGAGGCACCCAAACGAAGTTTTAAAACATTAGAAATAAAAGTTACAACAACAACCACAACAACAACAACCACAACAACAGAACAACAACAACCACAACAACAACGATAACAACAACAGCGACAACAACAACAATAATAACTGAGAAAAAAAGTTAAATTAATGACTGATTTCAACTAGCAGACAGACTTGTATAATAAGTTAAACACGCAAAATGTGTAACATACAAAATACAATAAATATATAACCATATATATGTTTGTGTACATTTAATTCAAGTAACCATGTATATATATATATATATATATATATATATATATATATATATATATATATATATATATATATAATTTGTTGGCAACAATTTGTCCTATTAATCACACCATGAAATGTGTTCATGGTGTGATTAATAGGACGGACGCAAGGACGGGGTTGAGTGGTGGTATTGAAAGAGTGGAAAGCTTTGTTTACTTAGGGGATAAGCTGAACGCGGATGGAGGATGTTTGAGCGCAGTTACGGCTAGAGTTCGTGTAGGATGGATGAAATTCAGGGAACTGGGTGGGGTATTGTGTGGAAAGAAATGGTCAGTGAAGATGAAAGGGAGGGTATATAAAGCATGTGTGAGAGCAGCGATGGTATATGGTGGTGAAACTTGGATGTTGAGGAGAGAGGAGGAAAGTGTACTGCAGAGGGCTGAAAGAGCTATGGTGAGGATGATGTGTGGGGTTAAAGTGAAGGATAGGAGGAGTAGTACAGAGCTGATGTCAATGATGGGACTGAATGAAGACATTGTGACATTGATAAGGAGATCGAGATTGCGATGGTATGGACATGTGTTGAGAAGGGATGAAAGGGTCGGGATTAGGCGAGCGTTGGAGTTCGAGGTTGAAGGAGTGGTAGGAAGGGGTCGTCCGCGATTGGGATGAAGAGAGCAGGTGGAGAAGGACAGGGTGAAAGCTGGGTTGCGTGATACTGAGGCGAGTGACAGATGTGGATGGCGTCGAGGGGAATTTCGGTTTCATCATAGGTGGCCAAACGGCAACCCCCGATCTCGGGGAAAATGTCGTCTAAACGTGTGTTGTTTGTTGTTGGCAACAATACTTAAGCATATAATTTCAATGAGATACAGTAAAACAAAAAAGTTAGCGAAAAAAAATAATTGAAAAATATATATATCCATATTTATAGCTGTGTGTGTGTGTCCGTGTATGTGCGTGTGTACATGTGTATAAATACTCAATGATGTGCCATTGTTTTTTTTAAACAATGCTAAGTACATATAGATAAAAGCTTAATGGTAATAGATATAAAATACTTAACAAATAAATATATAAACAAATAAATATATAAATAAATAAGCAATTAATGAAATAAATAAACAAATAATTAGTTATTTAATCAATTAGTTAAATAACACAAGTTATGAAATTGGAGATTTTAAAATGTGTACATGTACGTACACTTGGTATCAACATGTCAATCAAACATTGCACATTTTGCATATACCTATAAACACATTAACAAACACACAACTTGTATACACATACATACTTGTATACACATACACACCTATATACACATACATACTTGTATACACATACACACCTATATACACATACATAATTGTATACACATACACACCTATATACACATACATACTTGTATACACACACATACTTATATACACACACACACGCATACACATACACGCGCACGAAGACCAACTGTCATTTTAAATAATGAAGAAAATTTTAAAAAATAATATAATATAGAGGTATAATAATATAATATATGTATAATAACAAAGAGGTTAAGACAATGTTAACCGTCTAAATAATATTGTTACAAAAGTTGGTGCACGTTTCTGTCTGGTTCTGTTGTACGTGAAACTGGTTGTTTGTATCGTCTGCAGTACTGTACATTCATCATTGCACTTGGTTTCTGTACTTGCATTCGAATGTGGTCCCTTCTATTTAGTACTTATACTCTGGAGTGTATTTGAAATACTCGATGATTTTCGGAGGCAGATTGAGCTTGTGCGGATCGATGCCGGCCTCAAGCAGGACAGACCGACACATGGACTTCAAGGAGAAAGCATTGTAAGGCAGGCGGAAGACTTGAACGACGTGCGGTCCGTGAAGAGAGAACTTGTGCCTGTTAGTTAGATCGCCTAAACGATTGGCACTCTGATCGTGAACGGTAGCGATGACATCCATAGGGATGGCGATCCGCGTACTGCACATAGAAAATATGGGAGCGTAGTTCGTGGGACAGGTGTGCCAGAGGCAGGCGTATCTGTTGAACTGAATGCAGTGCACAGTCTGCGCAGTGTTGCCATCAAGCACATACACATAACAATCGAATGACTTGCCCTCACAGTTGATGTGCATCTCGGAGCCATCTTGAAACCTGTACGACGTCAGCCTCCTCGTACCACCGGTCAGACACAGACAGTTTCGAGTTCTGCCGAGTATGGTGACGACGAGCAGACGACCGTCAGGTGTGTATCGGAGGTCCGTTATGATGGCCCCCTGCGTTGGCAGGGGAGGTAGGGCAGAGGAGTTTCGAAGTCTGAATGACGTTGATACTGTTTTCTGGCTGTCTGATATGTCGGTGAACTTATAGTTGGATGCCAATATGCACCAGAGCCACTGTTCTTTGACGCTGGCTTCTGAATCTCGTCTGCTCTGCTGTTGATCAGTGAATGTGAAAATTAGTAAGCAACTGCTATGAATATAAATTTAAGTTGAAACTTTTTGAATGGCAATGGCTTTAAGAAGAAACAGTTAAATAAAAAAAACGTATTCTTGAAACAGCAAACAGCAGATATTTAAAAAAGCATGAAACTGTACTAACATTTTCAATTTTTGATGAACTGTTAATACTGTTGATGTTGTTGCATGAACTGCTGTTGGGTAAGCAAGTATCTACATTGACATTGCTGGGGTCATAAAATGTTTCTTTGTAGTTGTCTGGAGGAATCAGCTCTACCAAACTCAATGTGTTGTCAGGTCTGACTGTAAAATTTGTTAGGGCAATGCGTTTCCAAGCATGCCTCGGATCAAATGCAAACTTGGGAATACTCGTAGACCTCAGTATTTCAAATCGATTAACAGATAAGAGTTCAAGTGTGTTTAAATTATAAAGAAGCAACTCAACAACATCTGTGTCTAAGTTTCTGGGTGGGATGGAAGAATTCAGTATCCTGTTCAAATTTGAAGTCTCATTCTCCAGTTCTTCTTTCCTAACCGCAGCACTTGAGGAGATGATATCCGTCCTATACCTGGCACAGAAGTCTGTAACTTTCTCTGGGACTCTTGAGCCAACAATGAGCTTCAGGATCAAACACTTGCTGCCATCTGGACTGATCTCACCTGCCAACTTGAAATTGGCACATTCATATAACTTCTGTCCAAACTTTCGAAATTTTTTAGGTTTCAAGTTGAGGAAGCCAAGCTGAGAGATTCCTTGCTTGGATAAGTGCACTATGTATTTGCTGAAAAAAAAAGTAACAAAAGAATTTTAAAAAAAAATTAAATGAAATCAAATGAAATTAGGCTAGATTAGTGGGGTAGGCATGAAACTAAAAAAAATGACCTAGGGGAACATTGTAGGGAACACTACTTTATATCTCGTTCGTTAATGATATCCTGAACATTTGTCTTAGTTCCACAGAAGGAAATAGATAATTATTTTAAGGTCATTAAACTGTTGAAGATTTATTTTATTTGTCACTCATAAATGTAAAATAGCTAATTAATTTTTGTATTTTAGTAACAATTAATTTCTCATTTTTATGTTTACTGCTTGGAGACATGAATTAATATCCTAATATCCTATTAATATCCCTATTAATATCCTAATATTGTTTGTTGCTAAATTACAAAAACGCTAAGGCTAATTGGATCATTTTTTTAATTTCAACTTAATAAAACAAAAATATGTCAAAAAAAAACCTGTCTCTGTAGCAAAGAATACTTTTCAACTTTAAATGGTGAACTGCAATCATCTGAGCAGGTATGTAGTTGTACTCAAAATGTTCAGACATCTTGGCAAACTTCACTTTCCTCATCGAGGGGAAGACTTGATTGTCAGAGGAAGCATTCAACCTCAGCTGACGGGTGGCACAGAAGGCGGGGCTACATTCTTTGTGCTGCTGTCGATCACAATAAAGCACAGTTTCTTTGAAATTTGCAGCTTCTAAAATTTAAATGTAAAATAAAAAAAATTTTAATTTTAAAATTTAAAGTTAAAGAAGTTAAACAGAGATACCTGCGTAGCCATTTTTCCAGCTGTCTATGGAACATTCACCCAGAAGTTGACAGGATTTTTTTTCTTCGTCCCCACTATTATTTTTATTATTATTGTGATTATCAAAAGTTAGAATTTTGTCATTACTACTGTTGGTGCAATCACATCTGAATGATCTATCCGCTCTACTAGTTTCCGATCCCATTTTTGATATGATAATAAACGACTATTAAAAGTAATTATACTAAATTAAGCAATTAGGCGGAGATACGTATTAAAATAATTAAATTATTTCACTGTTGTTAAATATTAAAGTTAAGTTTACTTTTAAAATATAATAATAAATGGCCAGCGCAAAACTATTTAATTGATATGGTTTTGGTCTGTTTTAATGTTATAAAAGATTGTTGAACTAATTTTATGTTAAAATAACAAAACCTATTTGTTTTAATATTTTTTATTTTATAATTTAATGTTTTTAATGCAAAAAATCAGAAAAATGCAATCATTGTGTTCTCTAATTTTTCGTAAAAAGTCAAAAAGTAAACAGTCCTAAACAGCGAAACAAAAATCAGTGAAAATGTTGAAGGCGATTTAAAATTGTTGCGAAACTTTTAGAAAAATTGCAAAATACATTTATTTTTTGCAAATAAGTATTGTCAGTTTACTAATTAAAGTTTTTAATTTCAAAATTTGTGCTCCTTGCTAATGGTGGGCACAAAATTTTGACAAAAAATTACAAATGAATGTGATCTGCTGTGGACCTCTCTTCATAACCAGGTTCGACTTGCCTAATTAGCAATTTTTTAAGTTAATAATTTTTGTTTATTATAAAATAAATAATAGATAATATACTACTGCATTTTACTTTACTAATAAATATAAATTGATCTATTAATTTTCTTATTAAAATATTAAAAAAATTTAATATATATATAAATAATATAAATTTTATACAAACTACAAATTTAAAGTACTTCTAAAACTATATAAACCATGCATAGACATTTTTTCCATGAAATAGGATTCATTAATTATAATTAAAGTAAAATAACCAGCCAGAGCAATATTTAGTTAGTACTATTAGTTAGTGTATAATGGTAATCTGTTGTAGTAGAGTTAGAGTTTTAGAGATACTAAGTTATTTTCAAAATTTAACTGTAAAATAAGTGTAACAATTGAAATACTTGTTCACTACCTATCTATCTTATGTTGTATGCCTTCACTTGTGTGTTTATGCTGGTTTTTAACACCTTGTTTCACATTTGATCTTTTTATACTATTTGAATGTCATTAATCACATGAGTTTTTAAACTCTTTTTATTATATATACTCTTTCAAATACACCTAAATGTCGTTAATTCATTAATTATTTTCAATTTAATTTTCCTCGTCCCATTGATCAAATAAAAGGTGAGGTTTTGACATGGACGATGCAGAACCACATACATGGACAACTGACCAAGTTAGTGAATGGCTGACTGAACATGGTTTCTCAATGTATTGCAATCTCTTCTGCTCTATACACCACATCGATGGTCACACATTGTTACAGTTGACTGAAGACGATTTGAAACAACCGCCTGTGTCTATGCAAAAATTAGGTCATTTTTATTTTATTTTATTTATTTATTTTGTTATTTACTTCAGGTTTTGTAAAATTGTTTATAAAATGTTATTTATATTTTTGAATGAGTTATCAATAAAGTTATTTTTTTCTATTCTCTTTATATCTAGGTGATATTAAAAGGATAATTAATGAGTTGAATAAACTAAGGACTGAAGCATTTTTAAGGAATCCTTCCTTGGTCCCACTTTTTGTGAGTTTTGATTGTTTCATCTACATGATTTGGATTTCAAATTTGCATCTCAATGTTTTTTATTACTAAAATTTCAAACCTTTGTTTTAAAATTTTTGCAGGTTGAAAAAATCAAATTAACCTTTTTAATTTTTTTATTCCACAGCCTGAAAGTTTAAATCAAAAACTGCCAACCAGCATATCGACCAACGGCCTCACACGATACTTTTCTGCCACTAACCAGTTTCAGCCGTTTCAGCCAGTTCGAACAAAACCACTGGTTCTACCTCAATCCTTGACCCCTCCCCAGTGCAGTACCCCATCTCAATCCATCTCCCACCAACTGGACCTACCTTCCTTCGTGGACCAACAACCATCCATCTATGGTGATGCAGCCGAAGACATCGATAGTGACTCACCCACGATTTCGACATTTCTTGAGCCGGAATTCTTTAAACTAATAATTTCTTCTGTGTATCTAACTGTTTCACTCATGTTGACGACGTTTGTTATGGTGATTGTGCATGACAGGGTGCCTGATATGGCCAAATACCCACCACTGCCTGATATCGTCCTCGACAACGTTCCCCACATTCCTTGGGCCTTTGAGGCCTGTGAGGCCCTCATGGTCACACTGGGTGGTTTGCTGCTGGTTGTTTTAGTCTTTCACAAGCATAGGTTAGCTGTGCGTTTTGGTGTGTGTGTCTGTGTGAGCGTATGCGTGCGTGCGTGTGTAGGTTTGCGTTTGTGTGGTGTGTATATAAGTGGATGAAGGAGGATGATTAAAATTTTTAAGATTTTGACTTCATGTATCTTTCATGATTATTTTCACTTTTATCTGCAGTTTTCTAATCTAAATATTCATCACATTAAACTGCAATCATTCACACACACACATCTTAAACCAATAATCATGTAATTGCTATTGAATTAAACAGTTTAATCCTCTCTACCCATTGACAAAAAATAAATACAGATTCATAATAATGAGAAGACTCTTTGCATTAACTGGTACAGTATTTTTGTTGAGGTGTGTTACAATGCTGATAACTTCACTTTCGGTTCCCGGCTCACATCTACAGTGTCATCCAAGGGTTAGTTCCAAATGAATTTGATCATACGTAATACTATTCCGATTTTTTGGAGTACCGCTCAATTACTTTGCTATCCTACTAGCAATTTTCGAATCAGTATTAACTAACATCTCCACAACATATTATAATCAGGGCTTGAAATCATTTAAAGCCCGTGTAGAAACTGCACTCAGCATATACACAGGATTAGGAATGTCTATAAAAGGCGTGCAGACGTGCGGCGATTACATGTTCAGTGGCCACACAGTCGTAACTACTATGTTCAACTTTTTCCTCAATGAATGTTAGTTCAATTGGGATGTTTGACTGTTTTGTATTGTGTCATACATGAATACTCCTATAAAAAATTAAGGTGCTACAGATTTTGAATGTTCTCAACTATTCAGCCATTTGTAACAAGCAATTTATTCAGCTACTTATATCAAAGAATCTAATCTTGATAATAATGATACTTATTTCGATGATGATGATACTAATTATGGTAAAAATTAAAAATGATAGTAATTAAGATAATAATGAGACCTCCACTAACGAATCAGATACCCCAAGAAGCATACCGATGTTACACACCCTTGGCTGGGTCTTCAACTTCTTTGCCATCTTCTTCATCCTCGCAGGCCACGAACACTACAGTATCGACGTCTTCATAGCTTTCTACATCACATCTAGGCTCTTCCTCTACTACCATTCCCTAGCCAACAACAGAGTTCTCATACAGAGAGATGCCAGAACGAGAATTTGGTTTCCACTTTTTACCTTTTTTGAATTTTCGATGGACGGGGTAGTACCAAACGAGTACGAACTACCCTGGATGACTTTTTTCCGATTTGTAGTTAGGCAAGTTAGGAGATGGTTCGGCCTGCAAGTCAACGAAGAAAGCTCGCCTGCAAAAACATCACCCATTAAGAGGTCCCTATCTATATCATCATTCGGTATTGTCAGTGACAGGAGGAAGACAAAAGAGAAACAAATGTGAAGTCGGCATTCACCCCTACCCACTTTTTAAGTCTAATAGTTTTTTTAGGCAATCTGATTTGTCTTATTTGGCGAATCATATTTGCGTTATTTTTTAGCGTATGTTTTATTTAGTTCATTACCATTGCTGTTTAAGTCTGTAATGCGTTCCTATTTCAAAATCAATCTAATCACTGTCCATTTTCAAACTTACAACTAATTTTTTTAGTCTTTTTGTATTATTTCATTGAGTTATTGAGTTGACCATCTTGTTAAAACTGTGTAAAACGCTTGTAGCTATGTGTAAATGTTATTGGGTGTGTGTGTATATATATGCGTGTATTTCTGTGTAAGTGTGTATGCGTCTATGTATAGTGGTTAAACATTTTCGTGACTAAAGGAGTATAGCTTCACATTAATCTACTTTTACACAACTTATGCTGCTATTACGATAATATTTTACGTTTTAGTTTGATGTTTCACAAGCACATACAACACACACTACATTTTTATTCCACCTACACAAATGCATAAACAAACACATACAGATGTATGTATACGCTTTAAAATGCTCATTAAATATGTATATATGTAAATAACGATTTTAAATGTTTATACTACACCGTGTGTATATATATATATATATATATATATATATATATATATATATATTGCTTTAAATGTTTGTACATACAAACGCGTATATATATATATATATACATATATATACACTTTTGTACACACTAACAATCCTGCGCGTATACACGTCTAAAATGTCGTACACTTATGGTTAAGCGTACATTTTGTATTAACTGTAACACTTAACAATGTACAACACATGCATACACTGTACATATGAGAGTAATATTGCAAGTTTATTAGTTTTTTCACATGATTTTTTCTTACGTCAACATTCTGAAGATATTAGACACACACAGACACACGCATTTATTAGTTTTCATTAGATTTCTCTGATTGGGGAAGTAACTTGTTAGTGATATTTTCATAAAAACATATTTGGAATGATTACAATAGTTACTACTCAGTTATTTATTTCATCACTTGGTCAGTTTTACAAATTTGTTTTTTTTATGTTTGAAAGTTTAAATATGTAATTTGTGATATGCTTGATATCTAGCTAATATACATTCTACTGTCTATGTGTACATACATACATACATACATACATACATACATACATACATACATAGACCAACACAGACAAATATATAGATACACGCTTGTATAAAAACGTGGCAGTCCAATTACAGTACCTCTATGCTGCTGCACTGTTAATTAATATGATGTTCATCTATTACTTTTAGCATTTTTATTATACATACCACATTCACATAATCATTTTAAAACTAAAAAATGATTTTAAAATAGTCATGAACAAGTAGCAAATAAAAGATCAAAAGTTATTATTAATATTATTATTTTCATGTGATCGGACTTTTAATTGCAACAAAGGTCCTTCTTCCGAGACATTCCCTCTTTCGTTAGCCTCCTGTATGAGAAACTGTTCTAACAGTGGTGGGAACCTTACTGCTTTTGGTGGTTCAGTTTTTACTCGCTTGGGGACGCTATTGGCTTTCCGTAGAAATTCTTCTTCATCTTGTTTCATTACCAGTCTCCAATCAGCCTTGGCCCCATTCCTTATTTTGATTTCACCCATGTTTTCTCCTCTGAATACTTGTGTGCCGTAGGCTACACTTTCTGACCTTTTATTCAAACTCGACTATATTGCAAAATTTTTTTATGCAAAATAACATTTCACGTTGTTAATGGATGAAATAATTCAATTTCTAAAATTTCATAGAATTAAAATAAAATTAATTAAAATAAAATTGTTAGCACACTTGTGTTGGATCCGACATGTCTGGATCGACTCCTGTGATCCTGATGTAACATGGCTCATCGTAACGTTCGTAAAATGAATTTCGGTAGACTATTCTGCCGATGCCAAAATTTTGAAGTCGGCACAAAATGTCGAATAACCTTTTGCCACTAAAATTTAGTGTCTTGCCGACGAACTTGACTGTCTTAACTGGATCCATTTTTAAACAACCATAGACAAAACATTTATTAAGTCTTCGGCCATAAGTTGATACATTCCTTTTTATATATTATTTACATATTGCAGTATTAGCTCTCATTTTTTAATTATTTATTTTATTTTTATTTTTCTAAATCAAATTTGCGTTTTACAGTTTGATTTACAGAATAAAAATATAAAGGAAAGGTAACAAATCAAATACAAAGGATTGTGTGTTCCATGTTGTCTATCATTTGTATATGTATAGTTATATATAGTTAGGGAAATATATGTAACGAAAAATTGCAGTTCGGTCGTGTTTGCGTTATTTTGCTTCAGTTCCCAGTGCTCTGTCGTTCCTAATTTTTCGATTAGTTTTGATTTTTTATTCCGATTTGCGATAAAAATGGACGAGGAAGCTGAAATTCGTAAATTGTGGAGAATCCGCAAAACTATCATGCAGGTTAGTTAGGCTTTTAGTTTCGTTATTTATAAATCTTAATTTTAGAAGTTTGAATTTATAAATTATTTTTCTTTTATCAAAAACTTGGTACAGGTAGAAGTAGAAGACCGAAAAAATTAAATTTTAATTATTAGGCTTTCATTTTAAATTTAATATATCGTTATTATTTGGAATTCATTCAGTTATGCCATGACAGGATGTACTTGGTAACTCAGTCTGAGTTAGATCAAAATCTGGAGCAGTTCAAGCAGCAGTTTTGTAGGCCAGGTGAAAGGTGTCCACCACGATCAGAGCTTATGGTCCTAGTGGCCCACAACGATGACCCCACAGGTTTGTTTGGTCATTAAATTTTTCATTAATTATTAATTAATAACTATTATTATTATTACTCCATTATTGATGAAGTTAATATAGTAAATTTAAAACTAATTAATAACAATTTCTAAGTTCCATTAAAATTAAACTTTATTTCAACTTCAAATGAATTCCCTTTAATGTTAATCTTTTTTTACATTTCAAATTTTTATTTTCAGACCAATTGTTTGTATTCTTCCCTGATGAGCCGAAAGTTGGTATAAAGACCATAAAAACATACTGCCAGAAAATGCAAGAGGAATCTATTTCGAGGGCAATCATAGTTGTTCAGCAAGGAATGACTCCATCTGCCAAACAGGTATTTGTGAATAGTTTTTCTCATCTGACTATTTTTCAGTTTATTATGGAAGAAATTGAAGCAACTATCTCACCATTAATCACTGATTATTTTTTTCCTAATTGCTAATCTATATTATACTTTTTTATCGGCAGTCTCTGACAGACATGGCACCTCGATACATTTTGGAGATGTTCCTAGAATCAGAACTCCTAATCAACATAACGGAGCATCAGTTAGTGCCTGAACACATAGTCCTCACTGCAGATGAGAAAAAAGAACTCTTACAGAGATAGTTAGTGTTGAATTCATACACAGTTGTCATAATTTTTTATTTAAATATGCCTTGAATTTCTAATAATTTGTTTACATTTAAATTTAAATTCACTTTTCCAGCAAACTGAAAGACAATCAACTTCCCCGTATTCAATCGAGTGATGCAGTGGCTCGATATTATGGCCTTACAAAAGGGCAAGTGGTGAAAATTGTTCGACCATCTGAAACGGCCGGTCGATACGTATCCTATAGACTTGTCGTTTAAATGAATATTACCATTGTATTATTCAATGTTCGTGTTCTCATGAAAACTATTTCATTATTTTATATTATTCCATTCTCATTTAACTTTATGCTAAAATGTATGTAATTATTTTTCAGTCTAGAATGTTTTGGGAATTAAAATTTTTGTAAGCTAGCAGTTGACAGTTTTTTCTTCATTCATTTCATTAGAAATGTAACATTACATGCAGGTTCATAAAATGTGATCTGATCAAATAAATGTAACGAAAATTTGTAATAAAAATTCGTCGTCCGAACTGAAAGTTTGTACATTGTGCGCGTATTGTACGCTAATGTATGGCTATATCAATTGTAAAGACGTACATATGCTGTATATAGATAGGTGTGATTGATGGGCTGATTCACAGCTTACATATTTCCACAAAAATCTTGTCATAAATTTTTGCAAAGAAATGTGGTTCCCATTACTAAGCGTTATGCGTCTTCTGCGTGTTCAACTTTTTAATCTGCTGTACGCTGACATATGTATGTATATATAAGTCAATTTGTATGTGTGTATTATACATTGTGTATTCATGGCTCTGGTGTTGAGCCGATTAGTCGGTATTTTTGTATAGCGAAGATTGTAGTCTGATAAATTGTAAGTTGTATTATTTTTTATGAATATTGTGCAAAAAACGGCGTTGTCTAAACATTTAAAACTTTGATATAAAATGATTCTTTCAAATTTAAACAGAACCGTTTCTAACCGAGCCGAATTTTAAGCGAGATTTTTGTATCGTACTACTCCATCCCTAAAAAAGTGTTGCTACCTTACACAACATTATTGAAGATATAAATGGTCGCAAACAGGAAGTATTAATCTGGGAATCTCGTACATTGTCCCAGTCGTCTGCTGCCTAACTAGTGATTATGATTTTCTACGGATCTGCGATTTAATGACTTGTTTAATTACGTAAAAATTAGTGCTATTGAAATTTAAAATTGTCCTTTATTGGATAGTTTTTTATCAATTTTTTGAAAAAGTTTTCTACATGATTGATGAAACTTTAAAAAGGTAATCTGGATTAATTTTTCCAAGAGTGAAAGTTTGACATCATATTTCACTTGTTTAGTTAATAGTTAAAAAGGTTAATTAATGAAAATCTTATTTGTAATTCAATTATTATCTAAAAAACACAACTTAAAGATCAATTTTATAATTTATATTTTAAATTTTAGAATTATAAAATCAGTAGTCTGTTTAATCTACTAATTGATCAGAGATAAAGATTTTCTATTGTAAACACTCATTAAAGTTAGTAAAATTAGTGTTTGAGTGTCATTAATTTTCTCATTTTGTAATGAAATAATTTTTGAATAAAAGATATATCACTGAATAAAGTGAATATTGTCTAATATATTTTAGTTTTATAAATTTAATAATTGTATTTATGTTCATTTTTTAATTATTATTATTTAATGATTATTTTTCAGTAAAATTAAAAAGTTATTTGGTAAAAAGAACTAAATTAGAAAAAAGAATAAAACAAATAGTAGCAAAGAAAGATGGGTAATTTGTTGAAGATTCTCTATTGTAGAGATTGTGAAGTGCCTACCAAAGTTGATATCTTTGTCGACTTTGAAAGTATGCCCATGTCTCTCTCTTTGTTTGTGTGTGTGTGTGTGTGTGTGTGTGTGCGTGTTCATAATTTTCTATATTTTAATATTTGGTCTCAAAGTAGCAGTATATACTATATATTATAATGTGTGTGTGTACTTTGTTACAATTTAGTATTTCACTTTTAAACATGAGTGTGTACTGGTGTGAAAATTTTGCAGACGCAGTAGCTACGCAGTCAGAGCAGCCTGTCTGGTCCCAGGTTCAAAGCATTTTACAAGACGCCATGCTCATACTGAAAGACCTGGCTGCATACAAAGGGGCTGCCACTGAAATAAGAGAGGTAATTATCATAATTTATTATAATTATTCATTATTTTTTTATAGCTTTTGCAATTCTCTCCAAGGTATTAACAACTACAACAAAAAGCACACAGGGTATGTATGTAAATAAATATGAGTGCAAGCATCCATAGCATACATGTAGGGATCTCTTTGCATTTAAATTAGGTCACTGCAACATCAGAGCCAGGCGTCTTAACCATTGCACCATCACATTTTATTCTTATTTATTTTTATTTTCTCATTATTTTATATTTTCCTCTCTAGGCCATATCTAATCCACAATCAGATAACTATCAGCAGAGAGCATGGTCAGCTGTGGTGCCATTGGTTCTTCGATTGAAAAGATACTATGAATATTCAACTATTTTGGGTGAGTTTTGTACTTTAGTTATAGTTTTTGGATTGAGTTTCACTTTTAAATTTGTATTTTAGAGAAGTTTAGTGTAGCTACCACTGGTGGAGGCTCAAGTTCCTTGATGAATATTTACAAAACTGGATTACATCTTATAAAATTACAAACATACGAATTCACTCGAAATCAGATTACACAGCATTGATTATCTTTAAAATTGATAAAAAACTAAAATAATTTCTAGAGTCGACGATCCCCAACCTACTTGGTGTCTTATGCTCGAACGACATGACAGCTCGGCAGCATCTGGAGACCCAGCAAGCTTCTTTCAAACAATTTGCCGAATTTCTAGATTTCACTCTGAAGTTTGACGACCTTAAGGTTATTTATTAGCGTAATTTAGCGTTTATTATTCTCTCATTCTTTTTTCTTTCTCTCTCTCTCTTTTCTCTCTTTCTATTTCTCACTCTCTCTCTTTCTTTCTTTCTGTCGCTACATTTATCACATGATTCATACTTTTTTATTTTTAACTCTCAACACGTGTGACCTGTTCATTTGAACAATAATATTGACATTACTTTTGTTATTATTCTTATCAATGTTATTATCATTAATGTTATTATCATTAATGTTATTATTCTTATTGTTATTATTATTATTGTTATTATTATTATTATTATCATCATCACCCAGATGACAAACCCAGCCATACAGAATGATTTCAGCTACTACAGGCGAACACTAAGCAGGATGAAAATGTCCGGAAATGTAGGTTATGATGATGATGGGGAGGAGGAGGATGATGATGATGATAAGGAGGAGGATGATGGTGATGGTGATGATGATGATGATAGTGATAGTAATTATAAAGATGGTGGCGATGATGATGATGATGATGATGATAGTAATTATAAAGATGGTGGCGATGATGATGATGATGATGATTATAGTAATTATAAAGATGGTGGCGATGATGATGATGATGATGATGATGATGATTATAGTAATTATAAAGATGGTGGCGATGATGATGACGACGATGATAGCAATGCTAATTGATGATTTAATCAATATTTTAAGTTTATCAAACAATCAATCAACTAGCCAATCCATAGGAAAATGATTTATTACAAAAATAATTATAATTATATAAATTATATTATATATAATTATTCCAGGATGATTTTGAGAACAGTTTGGACGTCAGCGAGTCGACGGCCAATCGGATGTCCCTATTCTACGCCCACGCAACGCCCATGCTCAAAGTTTTAAGTGATACCACTTCTAAATTCGTCTCCGAGGTCTCTTTGCTGATTGGTCGAATGGGTGATTGAATGATTGGCTGATTGAATTGAGGAATGGTTTGATGGCTGGATGTGATTGAAAATGATTGCTTTAGTCAGTCGAACAGATGAATGGATGAAGGAATGGACGAGCAATGAATGAATGAATGCCTGAATGAATTAATATACAGAAATGAAAATTATTGGTTAGACAGGTAAAGAAATGAATGGATAGTTCATAGATTGAATGAATGAATAAATGGCTGATTTAGTGAATGAATGAATGAATTGATGGACAAATAAATGAATGGATGATTGATTGGCTATTTATAGAACAAAGACCTACCGATAGAAAACACAACAGACTGTCTTTGCACTATGGCTAGTATATGCAGGATCATGATTGAAAATCCGTGAGTTGTTGTGAGGGTTTCTACTGTTGATTCTGCTGCTGCTGTTGTTGTTGTTGTTGTTGTTATGTTGTAGAGTTGTTGTTGTTATTATGTTGTAGAGTTGTTGTTGTTGTTGTTGCTGCTGCTGCTGCTGCTGTTGTTGTGGAATGGAATTAAATAAAATGAGAGTAATGTAAATATGAATAATAATAATAAGAAGAAGAATAAGAAGAAAATAATAATAATTAATAATAATAACAACAGGAAGTACCGGAGCAAGATAACGAATGAGGAGACAGTGATGTTCTGTCTGAGGGTCATGGTCGGAGTCATCATCCTGTACGACCACGTTCATCCCATTGGCGCCTTCGTCAAATCCTCCAACATTGATGTTTGTAGAGTTTTTTCGTTCGTTCGTCCCCTCGTTCGTTCGTTTGTTCGTTCGACCATGCCGTTCTTTATTAACTCAGTCATTTTTTCATTTATGATGTCATTTATTCATTCCTCCAGTCATACAATCATTCATTCATTCATTCATTTTTTCATTTATTTATTTATTCACTAATTCATTTTTTCATATATTGCACTACTGGTGAGCAATGCGGCACCTGTTAGAGTAATTAGATGCGCGTATACAAAAACCTCCACACAACAAACAAACATACACACATATACACATCCAATACAATACACGTGCTGTGCACGCACACACACACACACACACACACACACACACATATATATATATATATATATATATATATATATATATATATATATATATATATATAAACGTACACACAAACACACGCGCGCTCGCACAGATACATACATACAAACCAACATAACTTGAAACAGATAAAAAACTCGATAAAAGTTCTTAAGGATTATGCACCGCAGAAAGTTGAAAGTCTTTTAAATGCTCTTAGGTTTGTTTACGTTTATTCTTTCATTCATTCGTTCTTTTGTTCGTTCATTTGTTCTTTCGTTTGTTCTTTCTTTCATATATTCATTCTTTCGTTCATTTTTACTTTTGATCTTTCATTAATTTCTTTGCTGTTCACATTCGATCGTTCATTTTTCTTTCACTTTGATTCGCTGCTTCCATACAATCATTCATTCATCCATTTCGTTCATTCTTATATTCACTCAACCAATCAGTCAATCAATCAATCGATCATTCATTCATTCATTCATTCAGGTACACAACGAAACATTTGAATGATGACTCAACTCCAAAAACTATCAAAGCTCTCCTGGCATGAAGAATAATTATAAATATTTATAAATAATAATATTAATTGTGTTAATAATAATAATAGTTATTATTACTACTACTACTACTTCTACTAAATTGCTATTACTCCATATTATTTTTTATAAAAGTTACCCAAAATAGTATGCACACACACACGCACGCACACACACACACACACACACACACACACACACACACACATATATATATATATATATATATATATATATATATTCAATAATTATGTATGTATTATATATGTATATATATATACATACACATAATATTTCATTAATATTAACATAATTATCAATAATGACTATTTTTATATTCTAGCATATATACAATATATACAAGAACTATATACATGTATGAACCATATATATCCAATGACAATAACATTTTGTTCTGTTTGGTTTATTTGTTTGTTTGTATTCTTCTATAATTAAATAGATAATCATGTTTATCATTATTATTATTATTAGTAGTAGTAGTAGCGATAGTAGTAGTAGTAGTAGTGGTAGTAGTAGTAGTAGTAGTAGTATTTTGATTTTGATTACTGTTGTTAATAGTATTTTTATAACCATCATGCTGGTTTGCTTGTTTGTTTTTTCAATTAGCACTTTGAAGCACGTACACATACACACACAAAAATATATACAAACCCACACATACATACAAACATGCATACATGCGAACATAATTTTTATACACCATATACAAATGTTGTTTGTTCTAGCATACTCAAATTTTAAACTTGCATGATTTATACATATATGCAAACAATCTTTGATATACATGTTTGTGTGTGTGTGTTGTTTGTACGTATTTATGTATGTTTAAATGTTTGTATGTATGTATGTTTGTATATTTGTATGTATGTATATATTATATAATTGACCAATGAAATTTATTTTTGGCCATTGATTTTTTTGCAAACTGTAACGTTTCTTTAATTGTTTCTTGCTCCTCTCGTTATTATTTTTCAAACATACAAATGTACGTACTTACATACATACGTACATACATACATACATATATACATACATACATACATACATACAGACATGCTTGCATTTCGTTGTTCATCTTCATGCGTTGGTGCTTATTATGTTAGCTAATTGTGTTAAATTTAATTAGTTCTTTGTTGGAAAAAAGTCGCTGAAGTTGTTTTTTTTAAATGTTTTGTTTAAATTTGTATCTAGTGTTTGTATTTATGTTCGTGTGTGTTTATTTGATCGTTTGTATGTTTGTGTGAGTTTTTATCATGGACTCTACTCGATTTGCAAACTGCAAATTTGTATATTGTTGCTTCTATGTTTGTATATTGCTGCTGCGGTCTTAGTTGTATTATTTTATTTTTCAAATTTTTACTTTAGAATTACAAAATTTGTTTGTCTTAGTTCTCTTATTTAATTGTTTGTGCTATGTTTGCTCGTTTCGTTTGTTTGCTCACTTGTTCGTTTGTTCGTTCGTTCGTTAGTTTGTTATAAAATGCACTTTGAATAAAACGAAGACTAACCATAATGTTCTTAATGAATTAATTCGCCTATTATTTCAAAATTTAACTGAAAACTATCGAAAACATGGTTCTTCATTTGTTCATAAATTTATTCGCACGAATAATTATATTTAACTAATAGTATACAAGTTTGGTAAAATCATCTCCCTTTCCAATTTAAATAAATTCCTGGTTAAAGAATTTTTAGCACATGAATCTGCTGTTAAAAATAAGGTTAGGCTCTTGATAATTTATTTTAAAAAGTTCACTTTTAAATGTTCAAGGGTTGTCTAAGTTGACAGACGTTCTGCTTTTATTATTTAACTTGTTGGATCAGAATTCGGGATCGGTTTTCGCAAATTTCAAAGTTCACCTTAGTAAGTTATACATTTTGTTTCATTTTATTTATTTTGTCACAAAGTTTCTTAAAGATTCTAGATTCTTATCAGATAATAAAAATTATATTATCATTATTAACTTTTAACATTGATGTTTGAATAAATCAGTATTCTGTATTTGTTTATTGATTTATAAATTAAATATAATCTATTTTTATATTACTTAATAAAGTTAATTAAATTAACATAACAATTAATTTGAAATAAAACATTTTTATTTAAGAAATACCAAATATAAAATATCAGATCCATGTGTATTAAATGTTCATATGTCATATAATGATATAATCATAATGTATGCTCTGATAACAATCTCTGATAACAATCTTTTTCATACACCATACACACACTCACTCACACACATACAATTATGACTTTATTGTGAGATTATGTGTGTACATGTTTATGGAATGTTTGAATATATTTTATGCACTACTCTTTTCACACAACAATATATATAAATATATGTATGTATATATATATAAATGTGTGTGTGTGTGTGTTTGTGTGTGTATGTGTATGACACACTTGAATATCATATATTAAAATTTTTCACTCATGTATTATAAGTGCTCTTGTCCATTTATAATATATTTATATATACATACCTATATATGTTATTTATGACAGACATTAAATTAGCCCCTCCCACATATATATATATATATATATATATATATATATATATATATATATGATGACTGTATATATAATAACTGTATACATATAAAACTTATATATATATATATATATATATATATATAGATGTGTGTGTTAGTTAAAGCCATACCTAGGTTGAATGAATACAAGCAGTTGAATGAACGGATGAAAAACTTCTCCTTTTTTATGCTTACTTCATAATTTCTAATTTTTTTTTCCTTGCTGTCAATGTTACCAAAAAAATATCAATACTAATAATAATAATAACAACCTTAATGGCAATAACATTAACAACAACATTAACATCAAAAACAACAACAAAAATTTTTATAATAATGATGATGATGATGATTTAGATTATGGGCTCTAAGGTTTCTACGCTTCTGCAGCCAGAGGAAGTCGAAGAGATCCAAGCAGAAACTGGGTGTATGTTACTACCATATTCCTTCTTCTTTTTATTTTTATTATTCTTGCTTTTATTGTTATTCTTCTTCTTTCTCTTCTTCTTTCTCTTCTTCTTCTTCTTCTTCTTCCTCTTCTTCTTCTTCTTCCTTTTCTTCTTCCTAGTATTATTATTATTGTTATTATCATTGTTATTATTCTTGGATAGTCACACCGAACCAGATATACAGATTGTACAGTAGGTTCACCAGGCTTGATAAAAATGGCAATGGCTATCTCTGGTTAGTTCACATGCGTGCACATCATCATCATCATCATCTCACCATCATTGTCATCTTCATCACCATCATCTCATCTCGTCATCATCTTCATCACCATCATCCTCATTACGTCACATCATCGTCATCATTTAAATAGTAAAGAGGACTTTTTTCGAATCCCTGAGTTAGCCATCAACCCACTGAGTGAGAGGATTGTGTATGCTTTCTTTTCTGATCAGTTAGTTGATTGCTTGATTGATTGATTTGTCGATTGATTGGTTGATTGATTGGTTGATTGATGGTCGATTGATTTGTTGATTGATTGACTTATCTATTACTTGATTAATTACTGACCGACTGATTGATTGATCACCCAGCTGGACTACTCTCTGACTGACTGAATGAATGATTGACCAATTGATTGATCGATCGATCGATTGGATAATTGATTGACAGATTGATTTTTTGATTGATTGACAGATTGATTGACAGATTAATTGACAGATTAATTGATTGATTGATCGTTCATTTGCAGAGGCTTGGATGACGACCAGATAAACTTCCGACAATTCACGAGGGTCCTGGCGAGGTTCCTGCCCGTCAATGCTAAGGACGGCAACAGGAACAAACTCAACAACAAAACCGACAAACTAAAATGTCTGTTGTTGGTGAAGGATGACGACGATGATGATGATGGTGATGATAATAATGGTGAAGGATGACGACGATGATGATGATGATGGTGATGATAATAATGGTGAAGGATGACGACGATGATGATGATGGTGATGATAATAATGGTGAAGGATGACGACGATGATGATGATGGTGATGATAATAATGGGGAAGGATGACGACGATGATGATGATGGTGATGATAATAATGGGGAAGGATGACGACGATGATGATGATGGTGATGATAATAATGGTGAATGATGATGGTGATGATAATAATGGGGAAGGATGACGACGATGATGATGATGATGGTGATGATAATAATGGTGAAGGATGACGACGATGATGATGATGGTGATGATAATAATGGTGAAGGATGACGACGATGATGATGATGGTGATGATAATAATGGGGAAGGATGACGACGATGATGATGATGGTGATGATAATAATGGTGAATGATGATGATGATAATGGTGAATGATGATGATGATAATGGTGAATGATGATGATGGTGGTGATGATGATAATAATAATGATAATAATACGAGAACAGTTGCATTTCGAATGTACGATCTAGACGGCGATAACAAGATATCGAGAGATGAACTCATCAACATCTTGCACATGATGGTCGGAGCCAATATATCTGAAGATCAAGTTGGTTGATTGTTTCATTGGTTGGTTGGTTATTTGATTGGTTGATTGATTGATTGATTGACAAATTATTTGATTGACATTTAAAATGTTTCCAACGTAAAGTTGGGCAGCATTGCTGATAGGACCCTTGTTGAAGCAGATTGCAATGAAGATGGGAGCATCTGCTTCGATGAATTCGTCAAGATCATGTCCAAAGTCGACGTTGAACAGAAGATGAGCTTGAAGTTTCTCGATTGAGTGATTGATTGATTGATTGATTGATTGATTACATTCAGTTGTTTGATTGATGTCTTCATTCGATTTCACTTAACACTCGCACTTGTTATTACAATGCTTCCTTTGCGTGCGTTTCAAAGGATTGTTTGAGTTTTTAAACAATCATTTATTAACTTTATTTTATCGATTGCTTTGTTGTTTGATCAGTTTAGTGATTGATGGGTTGACTGATTGATTGGTTGATTGATTGATTGATTGATTGAATGATTGATTGATTTATTGATTCGTTCATTCATTCATTCATTTATTCATTCATTCATTCATTTCAATCACTTTCAATAATTTTTAATACATGACCCCTCCCTAGCTATTTCAATTTTAAAGTTTTTATATATATATATATATATATATATATATATATATATATAAATATATATCTAAAAAATGCACATCTCGGCATCTTGGCTTGTTTATGTTCGATTACTGTTATACAGACACACACGCACACACGCACACCGCACACACACACACCACAAACATACATAGATACATACGCACGCACACGCACACAAATAATATATAATTTATTTTTTCAGTTTAAAATTGTTACTATCATGAATAAATAAAAAAATTTATTTTGCAATAAAGCGTTTATTTAATTCTTTTCTTTTTCGTTGTAAATATTATTAAATAATAATAACAATAATAATAATATAAAACAATAATAATAATAACAATGATAACAATCACATGATATAAGGACAAATATCACAATGATAACAACACTCCACATGAACGCAAAAATCGATATATATATATATATATATATATATATATATATATATATATATATATATATATATGTAACATAATATATATGATATATGTGTGTGTGTGTGCGTGTGTGGTGTGTACAAAGAGGAATGTTGAGAGATAGAAAAAGATGAGAGAGATTGAGAATAAAGAGCTTTTTTTTCTATATAATTTTAAAATATTTTTCTAAATATATATTTATCCAGACGTATTTTTATTTATTTATTTATTTATTCATTCATTTATTCATAATTTTAACGTAAAAAAAATTTTTCAAAAATAAAGGCACGATTAAAGCAATGAGTTGAGCCTACATGCGTAATACGCAACTTTATCTATTCAAGTTATCATTTCAAATTAGTGTGTGTGTGTGTGTTTATGAGTGTGTAAATGTGTGTGTGTGTATGTGTTGTGTTGTGTGTGTATTATGTCATAGTTCTGTCTATAAGTATATTTATGTGCTAAGAAATATGTACCTCAAATACCTCAAATGTACAAATTTATAAAGTTATATATGTATATAATATATGTAAGTTATTTGTGTATAACAAATTATAAATAAAATCATAGAAAATTTATCGCTGGCGTTTTGTAACAAATCAGTGTGTATATATGGTGCTTTGCGTTTGTATATATATATATATATATATATATATATATATATATATATATATATATATATACGTGTGTGTGTGTGTGCGTGTGTGTGTTTGTATGTGTGTTTGCAAAGTTTATAATTAAAAAACACTATATACACACATATATAGGTAAGTTTTGAATAATTTATATTAAATAAATTTTATATCTATAAAAAAAATGTATATATAAATGTATACAATGCAAATGTGATTTACTTACAAAAACGTTCATTATTTAAATAGAAAAATTAATTAATTTAATTAATTAATTATTTAGTGATAACAGACTCAAATGAACCCCTTGGTTAGCATTCGTTTAAGAAATATTTAAAAATATTTTTTAACAAATTCACATACAATTATACACCTTATTATATATTTATTCACTTTTTTATTTAATTAATTCATTAATTCACTCATTCAATCATTCATTCATTTCCGGTATTCATTCATTCATTCGTTCGTTTTTTTTCTTGTACGTGTTATATAACCCTTGATACCTCAAGTTAACTTCCAGATTTTCCTATTCATATCGACTGCTTGATTGAGATTGGGAGGATGAAGCGGTGGTTGTCATCGCCAGACCGAATTGAAGCGACCACTTCTCAGGTGTCGTTGTTAATGAAGGAAGGGTTGATGAAGACGATGCTGCCATCGTTGTTGTTGTGGCTGCTGTGGCTGCTGTGGTTGCTGCAAAGTTACAAAGAAATTGCTGCTGTGGCGTCATGCTGTATATGAAGGGGTCGTCATCTGGGTAGTGTTGCTCCCCTGCTTGGGGTTCATCTTCTTTCAATTCTACGCCCTTCTCCTTTCTTAAGAACAGTCCTGATAATCGAATTGAAGTAATCGAAGTGGTTCCATGCTCGTGTTCTGATTTTCGTTCGTGTGAAGGTGAAAGAGATTGTGAATAGAGTTGTGGTTGTTCGTGCTGGTAAGAATGCGTTCCTTCTAAATTGACATCTGCTATCGTCGTCGCTGTTGTTGTTGTCGTTGGTGGTTGGATTCTGTACACCTCTAAGCTTGTTTCTCCACTTTGACTGATGTCTCTGCTGCTCTGACTGATTGATTCCATCTGGCTTCCTATCCTGCTTCTACGAGTTCTCGGTCTGAAATGTATTCTCTGATGTCTCTTGCGTTCGTCCGACCGAGCGAACCTCCGCCCGCACAGTTCGCAAATGAATGGTTTTTCTCCTGTGTGAGTGCGAATGTGAGTGGTCAGGTGGTCACTGCGGCTGAACATGCGCTGGCAGATCTGACAACGAAATGGTTTCAAGCCGGAATGCGTTCTCAAATGTCGGTTGAGTTCGTCGGTTCTACCGAATCGTTTCTCGCACATCTCTATCGGGCATAAGTAGGGACGATCCTTCGACGGCAAGGCTGGTGCGTACTGTTCTGTTGCGACGATATTGGGAAGTTGTTTGTCCGCTGGTGAGGATGAGGAAGATGAGGAAGAATTCAATTCCGCTTGTTTACTTTTCGTTTTCTGGATAGCAGTAGCCATCAACAAATCCAACAACTGTCTTCTTTTCTTGTACGGTCGCTTTATTTTGGAAGAATTGTCGCCACTTTTCCGCGCCTTTTTTGAAGTTTTTTTACTTCTCATTTGTTTAGTTTTAAATTCTGCAAACTGACTTTGCGCTTCGGACTGCATCTCTTGTCCCATCTTAACTTCTAACGTTGTTTTTGATTTTTTAAGCATCTTTTGATAACCAGATGTCGAAGGTACTGGCTCATCATAACGACAATATTTTGAATCTGCAGTTGATGTTGCAACTGCTTGCGCGGCTGTGGTGTTAGCTGTACCAGCCGCTGCAACTGAATGTTGAAGATTGTCGCCGTCAATTTCTTCCAAGAGTAAACTTGAACTGTCAACGTATATGTTGCCGGTGAATATGTTGAAATCGGAGGTGCTTTCGAAGGATGCAGGTTCGTTCAGTGAAGCCGACGATGATGATGTTGGTGGCCGATCTGTTGCTGATGTTGTTGCGGATGTTGTTGTTGTTGTTTGCTGCTCGTAAAATTTTGATCTTGCTGTTGAGTCACCGAGCTGAAGTTGGCAAAATGCTAAAAATTTACTTGATGAAAGTTTCTACTTCATGAAAGTTATTAAAAAAAATATTTTAGCAATATTAATTAATTTCAATTATAAATCGATAGCTCGAAGAAGTAAATTTTTGAAGTTGCAGACCTCTGAATGTTTAGCGTGGATGGGATGAGCTTTGTAGACACAGGATGGCCTGCACTTCTCCAACCTTGGATAACTTGCGTAAATTCTTTTCGTCTCACTTGGATTAATCAGGAATTCTTTTCTTTGATCCTGGACGTAGGAGGGTTGGGATAAAGATCCTGATGACTCAAAATGTGTCGACGGGTAGGAGAGAGATTGACGCGAGGACAATATCTGGTGTTGTTGCTGATAAAATGGTTGTTGTTGTTGTTGCTGGTGCTGGTGATATTGTTGTTGCAAGTGTTGTAGTTGAGGTGAATGATGATAATAATGTGATTGTTTTAACAAAGTTGCTTGTATATTGGGCTCTTGCAGTTGTTGAAATCGATATGATTTCTGTTGCGCCTGTTGTTGTTGCTGCTGCTGCTGCAATTGTTTCTGAAGCTTTTGTAGCTGCTGCTGTTGCTGCCGCTGTTCAAGTTGCTGCTGAAATTGTTGTTCTTGAAATTGTTGATATCTAAATAGCTGTTGTTGCTCTGGATAATTGGAAATTGGTTGCTGTTCATTTTGTAGTTGCGCTTGTTGCAGTTGCTGGTAGGTCGTTGGAGAAATGGAGTACTGCAACCCGGAAGCACCAATGACACCAATCCTGTCTTCCTCTCTGTCGCTGTTTTCATCGTCGTCGTCACACCCGCCTATCGTTTGATACTCACTGGCAACTTGTTGGTGGGCATACGTCGGTGGGAGTGCTTCTGATAGTTGTTGATGTTGAAGTTGATGTTGTTGTTGTTGTTTGTGTAGTTGTTCGTGTAGTTGCTGTCGTTGCGAAAAAAGCAGTTGTTCGTGATATTGTTGCTCAAAAGAGGATGAAGTAACAACCAGTTGCGAAGATTCAAGAGGAATGAGTTGTGTTGGCTGGTATACAAAAGGTCCCAAAATTTCTGTGAAGGATTCTGTCTTACTTGGTGCATCAAAATCTGGAAAATTGACTTCATCATAAGATTCTGACGTGTCAATAAATGCTCCTATATTTGGATCGGGTAATGCTTGCTGTGTTTCATGCTGTTGATGAGTTAGTTGCTGCTGCTGTTGTTGCGGCTGCTGTTGCTGCTGTTGCTGCTGCTGCTGTTGGTGGTGGTGGTACTGATGATAGTGATATTTTTGTAAATGTTCTTGGTGCTGTCTTTTTAAAAGTCTGTAATGTTGGTGCAGTTTTTGATGTTGATGATGTTGCAGCCGCTCTAGATGCTGATGATGCAGATGCAGATGCTGATGATGATGTTCGTGTTCTGTCTCTTCCTCTAGATGTCGCTCCCGTAAATTTTTCAACTGAAACTTTGAAGGAAGTTTTAGCACTGAGGCCAGATCGGAACTCGATCGGCGACTCGTTGAGGGTCCGGGAGAACGTCTCATTGTCTCAGACAATGTTGACAAACTTGACGTCTTCATCGGTGGTTTACTTTGGCTAAATTTTGTGTGAGGTGTTTTTGAGATCGTTGATGAAGTCGAATGCGACTTTGCTGTAGTAAACGCTGCGACGTTCGCAGCTGCGGCGATGTGCGGTGGTTGTGGGTTTGCGTCTGGCGATGTTTTGAAAAATTTGCCAGTCAGAAATGTTATATCCGAAGATGATAGAGTCTGTTTTTGTTGTTGGAAGAAATGTTGATGTTGTTGTTTTGTTGCTAGCGATGGCAGAGAAAATGTATGTGGATGTTGTTGTTGTTGCTGTTGTGTTAGTAGTAAAGGAAGTTGCGATGGCTGCTGCTGTTGAAGTTGTTGTGGTTGAGGTATTTGTTGTTGTTGCGGTATTTGTGATGCTGTTGGTTCATCTTCAATTGTACTCACTTGACACTCATCTACATTTTGCATTAGCGATAAGCTGACGTCTGCATCTACGTTGACACCTAAGAAATTTTATAATTTTTGTCTCTGCTTTTTGATTATATTTGTTTTATATAAATTCTTACAAATATATAGACTTGAATTATCTATTACGTGTGTATATATGTATGTACTTGTATGTCTGTGTGTATATATTTGTATATATGTTAGTATCCGTGTATGTATTTTTATAGTTGAGCTCCTATTGGCTAAAATAACAGTAAATCAAACGTGAACTGGTTGTTTATTGGATGATTGAATTTAATAATTGCAAGTTTTTAACGTTAGCTAAACAGCGTTTATTAAATTTATACAGATCAGCCTATCATAACATATGGTTTTTTTGCGGTTCATGAATTCATTCCTTTGTCCTATCATATATTCACTATGATTTGTCTTTTATATTAATAACTCGTTCCTTCATTTAATCACCTATTAACTAATTAATTCAGTAATTCATTAATTCAGTAATTCATTAATTCATTCATTCATTCATTCATTCATTCATTCATTCATTCATTCATTCATTCATTCATTCATACATTCATTCTTTCATTCATTCATTCATTCATTCATCAGAAACCGCATCTACTTTCTTTTATTTGCTAATTCATCCTTTAATCCTTGAACAAATAAATAAATATCCTATCCTCTCTTTGCGAACCGAAATATCAAAAAACTTTCTCTCTTTATCTTTCGTTCTCTCACTCTCTCTTTCTCTCTCTCTCTCTCTTTCTCTATAAATTTTTATATTATATATACACATATATAAATACATCAATCTTTTTTCTCTTTTTCATCTGTGCCCGCTTTCTCTCTTTCTCTCTCGATCTCTCTCTCTCTCTCTCATCTTTACAAATTTCCTCTTCCACTTCCTTCCGTTTATTTCATCAACCCCGATACTAGGATTAACAAATCTAATTTCTTTCCTAAACACACACACACGCACGCACACACGCACGCACGCACACGCATACACAGATTACACACTTAATCCTCTGCTTTTTGTATCAATACACAAATGTATTTACAACATATGAAGAGAGAGAGAGAGAGAGAAAGAGAAAAAGAGAGAGAGACACAAAGAAAGAGAGCTAAAAAAAGTTATAATAAAGACAGCATGGGTTTTTTTTGCAGTTGAACGCGGCAAGTACCAATCAACCAATCAATGGATGGAGCCGAATATCAACCAAGTCATCCAGGCAGATTTTATCTCTATGCCCTAAAAAAATTATATTTATAACATAAAAATTGTGAAAATTTAGAGATTTTTTTAGCACATAACACATACTGATACATACACTTTCATAACCACACACACACACACACACACACACACACACACACACACACACACACACATATATATATCTATATATATACATCTACATGATCTTTCTAATATAAATCGAACTTATATTAGTTGTTATTTCCCATTCATAAAAATCCCTCCATGGTTCCGCAAAAAGGAAAAAATAAACATTTATATAATCTACCGATTCCAATTGGTCAGCTATAATTAGAATCTGAAAATGATGATGACGCACTAAAAATAGATAATATTAATATTAATAGCTAAATAAACATACATACGAAGATACATTGGTGTGTATGTATGTGAGTGAGTATGTATGTATATATGTATGTATGTTTAAATTTGTTTCTGAATGTCTGTATGTAGAATCTATTGTTGATATGATGATATGTATGTATTGAAATGAATAAGTATATTGAATATATATGTGTGTATATATTTATGTATGTATGTGTGTGTATGTTTGTTTGTATGTATGTTTGTTTGAATGTTTGTATGTTTGTAAGTGCCATTTGTCGTAAATATTTTTAGTCTATGCCACAATTGTAAAGAACCTTCTCGAACGTGAGATAAACATTCAGAAAATAGCTTTCCGTACGTGTGTGTATGTTTGTATGTATGTGTATGTTTGTGTTTATCTTTGTGTGTGTGTATGTGTGGTGTGTGTGTGTATTGTGTACGTATGTATGTATGTATGTATGTATGTATGTATGTATGTATGTATGTATGTATGTATGTATGTATGTATGTATGTATGTATGTATGTATGTATGTATGTATGTATGTATGTATGTATGTATGTTTGTATGTATGTATGTATGAATGAATTGATTGAATGAATGAATGAATGAATGAATGAATGAATGAATGAATGAATGAATGAATGAATGAATGAATGAATGAATGAATGAATGAATGAATGAATGAATGAACGAACAAACGAACGAACGAACGAATGAATGGACAGATGTATGGCCAAAGAATGTATGAATTAATGAACGAATGACATAAGGTGTGATGTTGTGCTGTTGTGCTGTTGTGTCGATGTCTTTGTTTGTGTTTGACACACAAATTATAAAAGAAAATGTTACGCGCATAAAACCTCAGATGCTTATTTTGGTCTCGTTCTTTAAAGAAGAAGAAGAAGATGCTAACGATTGTGAGGTTGATGATGATGGTGATGACTGTTTTAATGATGATGATTGAGACAATGATGATGATGATGATGATAATTATAATAATGACAATGATGATGATGATCATGATACAGATAGTGAACCTTTGCATTCTAAGTTACTCTAAATCAGCCAATGAATACAACTACATATACACATACATCCAGTCAACAGATCCGCAAAATTTATTTTAAAAATTAAAAACCGAGAATCATAATAAAAAAAATTGTACACGAACTAATATTATTATTATTGTTGTTGTAATTACTACTATTTATTCTTACTATTATTAATATTATTATTGTTATTATTATTACAAAAGTTTATTTTATAGAGTTTATTTGATGATCGTTAACGTGCCGCTATATCGATTTTCACAAATTTAGCGTGGGTTGGCAACTAACTATTCGCTACTTGTATTTGTTCGTCCGTTCGTTCGTTCGTTGTTTGTTCATTCGTTCGTTCGTTCGTTTGTTTATTCATTCGTTCATTCATTCATTTATTCCTACTTATTTTTTCTAATTTGTGAAATCAATTCATCAATTGTTCAGTTATTTATTCATTCATCTATCCATTCATAAGTTAATTTATTATTCACTCATTTATTTTTAACCAGCCAACTAACTAATCAACCAACTGACCAACCAAACAATTCCTTAATTCAATCAATCAATCTATCAATCTATCAATCTATCAGTCAGTCAATCAATCAATAAACCAACCAACCAACTAATTAGCAAATCAACCAATCAGCGAATCAACCAACCAACCAATCAACCAATCAATCAATCAATCAACCAATCAACCAACCAATCAACCAACCAATCAGCAAATCAATCAATCAACCAACCAACCAATCAACCAACCAATCAATCAGCAAATCAACCAACCAACCAATCAATTAACCAACCAACCAACTAAAACGCACTAGTTAGTGGGGAGAGCATGATGGGAACATTTGTTAGTAATTCATCAATATCAATGTCCATTTTTCCAAGGTCAACCAAATCAGCGTCAAGGTCAAAGTCCGAAAGCATGACGTCATATTGTCGTTTTTGTTGTTGTTGAGGTAGTTGTTGTTGTTGTTGAAGTAGTTGTTGTTGATGTTGAGGTAGTTGTTGTTGTAGTTGAGGTAGTTGTTGATGTTGAGGTAGTTGTTGCTGATGTTGAGGTAGTTGTTGTTGAGGCAGTTGTTGTTGATGTTGAGATAGTTGTTGTTGTTGTTGTTGAGGTAATTGTTGTTGCTGAGGTAATTGTTGTTGTTGAGGTAGTTGTTGTTGTTGTTGCGGTAGCTGCTGTACCAGCTGTTGTTGTGGCAGTTGTTGTTTTTTATCTTTCTTACTTTTGACTCCTGACTGATGATGGCAAGTCAGCCGATGCTCAAACTGTTTATGATGCTTTAGTTGCTGTTGTGAATGCTGTTGAAGTTGACGATGTTGTTGATGCTGTTGGTGTTGTTGATGCTGTTGATGTCGTTGTTGTTGATGATGATAACCCACCAACACATTTTGGGCTGGATGACTGCAAGATTGAATCATACTTTCACTGACGACAGAAGCAAAACTTGTAGTAGTTGTAGTAGCAGCATAGGCGGCAAAAGTAATAGCAGTAATTGTAATAGTAGCAGCAGCAGTAGTAGTAGTAAAAGTATTAATGGAAGTAGTATTTTCGGTAGCGGCAATAATAGTAGTAGCAACTGTAGTAGCTGTCGTAGCCACAGCAGTACCAGTAGTAGCAGTCGTTGTTGTTGTTGATATCGATGATGATGTTGTAGTCGACGATATTGATGAGGCAATAATCGTTGGTGTAGTTGCTGTGATCGATGTGTTGTTATTGTTGTTTTTGTTGTTGTTGTCTAAATCATCAGTAGCTTTGTCAGGCTCATTTTCCATAGTTTACTCGTTTTCCTGTTATCTGGTTTGGCATTGGATTCTGCTAATTAATTGATTGATTAATTGACTGATTAATTAACTAATTGGTTAATTAACTACTTGTCAGTTTTTAATAATAATTGGTATCTATCACTATTTAATACGCGATGAATTAATTGATTTAGTCACATAAAACATTATAATGAAATTTTAAAATAAGTTTATTTTAAATTACTACATCAGAGCGTAACCCCCCTACTTTCTTATCTGGGTGCTTCACGTGCTTTCCAATCTTATTATCATTGTAAATTAACCCGATTTAAATTATTAGCTATTGTTAGTCTACTTTAATTATCTTTTACAAACAAATCAAAAAATATCGTCTCGTTATGCCAAACAATGTAACTATGAATGTTTGTATTTTAAATAAGTTTTAAGGTGGTACGTACAAGCCAACATTTTCATTGGAGAGGCAAGATGAATGACTGATGAAAAATATTAAAAAATGGAAAAAATCGCAACTGAAAACCCGAGTAGCTGAATCTCTGACGTTTATATAGCTACATCTATTTACCACATGACAGGAGCCAACAGTACATACCTACATACATGCACACATACTAATACACATACACACTTACACACATACATATGTACATGAATACTTCCATACATACGCAGATACATACTGTATTAAAGTGGGTTTGTATGGTTACGCTTAGAATACATACATACATGCGTGCGTACAGACATACATACATACATATACAAACATACATACATACATATACAAACATACATAGATATACAAACATACATACGTATATACAGTAGAGCACGCGTGGAATTTTTATGAATGAAACGTCGTGTTCTTTAACGCCATTGGCCAACGTAAACGTGCGTAGTAGCCGTAGCTACTGTCACAGCAAACGCTTCGCTTGTTCGTGACGTCACAGCTGCAGCTGCCGGCTTTGCTGCTTGCTGCGTATGCAATGGACGATCAGATGATCAGCTGATCAGAATTTTTGTGGAGGTGGTAGTAGCTATCTGCTCTTTCTGAATATTTAAATGGGTCACATGGTTAGCTTTCCGCTTATTGTTATTAGCATTATTTCTTCTTATTATTTTTATTATTATCTAGGTCACATTTGAGGAGTAGGTGTAGATAGTGGCGTGGATAGACTAATGGAACGAATGAATGAATGAACGAACGAAAGAATAAATAAAAGGATTGATGTAAAAAGAAAATTTCTGAATGAAACATCCATTACCTTATGATGGGGACGACGACGACGGACGATGATGATGATGGCGATGATGCGGCACTAGTAGCGGCAACAGTAGTAGTAGTAGTAGTAGTAGTAGTAGTAGTAGTAGTAGTAGTATTTTCATCATCATCATCGTCGTTTTTTTTGCCCACATATTTATTTTTATAAAAACACGGCGCCTATGAAAACCCTCCTAGCCTTGACAAAAGCTTTGAATTAATTGAACAAATGTTCATTTCAAAATTTTAAGAGCGAAAAATTGAAGGAAAAAATGTATGAAACTGTCCTTATTTGATAATAATAACCACAAAATAATAATGACAAAAATAATAATAATAACAAAATAATAATAATAATAATAATCGCAATAATCAGCGCTTGCTGGCAAGTTGTTCTTTCACGAAGTGCGAGAAATTTCATCAAAGGAGGTGCTCTTTAACATTTTTATTGTGGTGACTCGACAATTATTATTATTGTTGCTGTTGTTATTATTGTTGTTTTATTGTTATTATTATTAGTAGTAGTAGTAGTGTAGTATTGTTGTTGTTGTTGTCGTCGTCTTTTTTTTGTTTTATCGTTTTAAAGTACAAAAAATTATTTTAAACTTTAAATAATAATAAATAATAATAATAATATCGATAAATACGACTAACAATAATATAATAAATAATAATAATAATAGATAATAATATCAACAGACACAATAAAGAACACGAACGAATAGCGGATAAAAAGTTGATGAATTATTTAGCGTTTTTTTTCACTTGCTCCCCAAATGTCAAATGCCGCTTTGGTTTCGCCTACCATAACAGATAGATTTATCATCGACACACACACAACACACGCGCGCATACACATTCAGACATAAACACACACACATAAACACACACACATAAACACACACACATAAACACACACACATAAACACACACACATAAGCACACACACATAAACACACACACATAAACACACACATACATGCATACACATACATACATACAAACATACAGACATAGATACAAACAAACAAACATAAAAATCAGCTCACTCCGAAATTTTAATCAAATACAAACATGATGGACATAAACAAAATACAACTGACCACAACTCCGAACACGATCACGTGATAAGCACGTGACACAAAATATATTTGACCTAGTTTTCTGGCTAGGGGCAAATGATGGATGGAGTGTGGATGGAGGAAAGACACGTGTGCTTTTGAAGGAAAAATATTTTGATAAAAGAATAAACGAACAAACGAACAAACGACAGAATGAATGAATGAGAATGAATGAATGAATGAATGAATGAAATGAATGAATGAATGAATGAATGAATGAACGAACGAACGAACGAACGACAGAATGAATGAATGAATGATGGATAGATGCATAAAAACTTAAGTCGGTATGTGTGGCATTTGAGAGATGCGTGTTGGTAGATATTTAAAGAAAGAATTATTCGAAATGCTGACAAGGGGTTTACGACGGAGTTTTGTGATTTTGTCATGATGTTTGTGAGTGCAGGTTCAATCTGTCATCTCTGCAACCTTACTCTGACGTCATTTTCATCATAACTGACGTCATCCTCGTTCTCAGCTCTGAGTTTTCTACCGTTTCAATTTGTCTTCTTTATCATCTGCATTCATGTCCTTATTGTTGTCAACATCATCATTATCATCATCTCCACAAAAATAACAACAACGTCATCATCGTCGCGGTCGTCATCATCATCATTATCGTCGGTTTCATTAAATTAATAAAACATGGAAAAAAACTCTAAAATAATTAAAATAATAATTAGCTTTACTTGAAAACGAAATAATAACAACAACAACAACAATAGAAATAAAAATATTAACGATAATAAAAACAAAGAAAAATAAATATTCTCGGACACGCAAATATATTTTATTCTCTAACCAAAGGCATTAATATTCATAAACCGTTGTTATTTTTGGGTCGTTTTGATTGATTTAGAAGTAGCAGCAGTAGTTGTAGTAGTAGTTGTAGTAGAAATAATAGTAGTAGTAGAAGTTGTAGTTGTAGTAGTAGCAGCGGCAGAAGTAGTAGTAGTAGGAGGAGGAGGAAGAGGAGAGTAGTAGAAGTAGCAGCGGTTGTAATAATAATTGTATCATTTTAGTAGTTATATCTTTACATTTCGTTTATCAATAAGAAAACAACGAAACGGTTACGAAACGATATAACGAAACGACATAACGAAACAAAAATAGATCCAGAAGGAAAAAAAATAAAATCAGCACTAAAAATAAAAGGAAGAAATTGAAAAATAATGATAAAATAAGCCCTGCGTTTAAAACGGATGACAAGTGTCGAGGGAAGAGGCCAAGAACAACAACAACAACAACAACAACAACATAGTTGTAATAACAATAATAGCAACACTTACAGCAACAGTAACAATAACGATAACAATAACAACAATTGCAATAATAATAATATTAATAACAATAACAGTAATATTTACAGTGATAGCAACAACAAGAACTTACTTCGGCATGCGTTTGTTTCCCTTTAAATCTATAAATAAAACTTTTCATCTGAGTTTATTTTTAGTTTATTGAGAAAAAAAATATAGAAAAATTGTTTGAGAATGAGAATCCTATAATTAGCCATGATAGATAAACAAATATATAAATATGTATATTTATAAATATACATGTATATATATATGTATTTAACGAAATAAAAATAAGCCAGTTAGTTCATTTCAACAACAAAATCAATGTCAACAACATCAACAACCACAGATACTACAGCAATCCCATTATGCCACATCCTAACACAACAAAAGCAACAGCAGCAACAACAACAACAATCAAAAAACATAAATAGCAAATGACGTCAACAATAACAATTTGTCTTTTTGGGTTTTTCGACGTCTGTTAACAAGAAATTTAAAATTGAAATTAACCACAACAACACCAACCACAACAACACCAACCATAACAACACCACCACCAACAACAACAGTAACAAATTCAAAATAAATACAAATATAAAAATAAATTAACACACAGACGATATAACTTTCTCCTATAAAAGATATTTCATTCACAAGAGCACAGCATGAATGTACGTATATGTAGCTTCGTAACTTATAAACACATTTTGCTCGACAGAATGGCCAGAAAATGTACATAGGGATAGAGGCGAGCATGGGAAAGGAAAAAAGGTTAAAAAAGGTTAAAGGTCAATTACACTCTTTCAAAGTTCAGAGGATTCAGCAAAGCGCACAAACATCGTACATGAATACAGGCTAAACGACGCGTCACACACGAAGCATGTGATAGGCGGGAATTTTTTTGTCGTATTCGAACCCGGTTACTGCGAAACAGCACCAGGCGACCTTAACCATTAGACTATCACGCCGCCTAAGGAAATCGCGGGACTCCCATGGGTTAAACTTAACTTCCGAGAATGGGAATTTTAGGGAATCATGGAATCGCTGTTCAGGAATCTGGAATGACGGACGGGAATGAAAAAAATGGAAAAAATGTCATCTGCATGCGAAAATAAAAGGCTATATATATATTTCAATATGTATACTCGTACACATGTGATCGACGCATAAACAATTTAGCTCTTTTCATGTGTTTTTACATTTAATTATTTGATGGTGTAAATAAGGCTTTCAACAGACATTGATGTTATATAACAATTGTCCTTCTGACTATGTTATTGGCTTATGATTATTTTTATTCCTATCCAAATTTTGATCTTTAAAAATTAT